CACACACAGGGTGTCATTCTTTGCAAGAAACTAAGTTGTAATAAGTGGATTTTGAGCAATTGTTGGCTTAATTAAAATGTGTTTGGATTTTGTTTGTTTGTTTCTAATATCTTTGCAGCAGCCTGTAACCTGAAGGTGAAATCAATTGTGATTAGCAAATAGAGGCATGTTCTTCTAAGAAGAGCAACAGAGCAAGCAAAGTTATTCCTAGAGGAGTCATCATCTAGTGGTTCGTGCCCTGTAGGAAACAGGTCAGTGCTAAGCTGTGTTACAGAGGAGAAAAAAAAAAAAATAGTTAAAAATATATATAGTTGGCCTAGGATCTTAGGAAGTAAGTATTGTATTGATGGGGAAAAAAGATAAATGCTGAAAACGGTCATACAGTCTAGGAACTGGGATGGCAGTTAGATCAAAATCTCCTTGTCACAGCGGAATGTTACGATTATTTTTCTGTTTTGAGATGTGGACCATTTAGCCACTTACATTCTCTCCACCGAAATGTAAGCACTGCACTTTTTTGGTAAACAGCATTCACAACTTAAGCTGTTCAGATAGTATCATCTAGCTGATTTATTGGAAATCTGTTCAGGAGCAGAAGGAAGGGAAGGATGTTGATCACATCTTGCGCACTGTTTACCTCGTTTCAGGTGTACCTCATTTGTGTTTCCTGTTTCACTGCCTAGACATAATTTATAAGGGGCTAAGTTTAAGTAGGTAACAGAATTGTTTATGATCCAGTAATGACTATAATGAAAAGTCTGTTTCAGCCTGATTGTACCGTAGCAAGATGCCTAAGTACATGTAGAACCTCACCCCTGGTTTGAGTAAAGTTACCAAACTTCCTTCCAGTTTGTTCTGTGACGACTTCAGAAAGTGAGCGAGTGATGAATTTCTCTTCTTCCAGGGGCAGCAAGCAGGCAGACGCCTTTTCCACTCCTCCCACCTGTACTGTGCTAGAAGATCCTGCTACCAGCTCAGGACTGTCTCTGGGAATTGCATTTGGTTACAAAATCACATATTGGTGAGTGGTGTGGGGTTTGCCTCTCTTAGCAGCCATATTACGCCCATTTCCTGTATCTTTACACTTTTGCGGTTCCAGCTTGTTTACCAGTAATACCGTTTCCTCAGCAAGAAGGTCTCTTAGTGGCCTTGTCGCATTTCTGTCAGCTATGAGCATATCGTAGAGCGTAAAACAATATGATCCGAAAAAGTAATTCTCCATGTTTTGATTGCTTTGTCAGATACAGGGCAGCAAAATGGAGGTTTGCAGCCACAGCTGTGGATTTAGGTCAGAGCAAAAGAGACTTCTGTAGTTCTGCTTGTCCAGAACTGCTTCTAGAATAAAACGACACAGCCATCTGTGTTCTTCTGCAGATCATCTTGCACATTAAAACCTCGCTTACGTAATTCAGTCACAAGTCTGTCTCCTTTTAGTGACAATAGAACACATGGCTCTGGAGAAGTGTTAGAAATATTAAGATGCATTTTTCCCACATAAAATTACATTAATACCTGAAGTGCCATTTCTTTGGAAGTGACTTGTTTAACTAACTCTGGCATGGTATAGCTTGGGTAGGTGACATGTACTGTGCGGCGTTAGTACAGCACAAAAGCATTTATCAATCAATCAGCTGTGCTGGTCATCCAGCTGTGTAAGAAAGATGCCTGGATTTTATTTTGCAAGAGCTGCTTTTTCTTTGAAGTTTACATAGCTTAACATCTAGATTTCCCACTCTTAAATGACTGACTTTACTTTGGGAAAATGAGACCATCATCTCAAACGCAGATTATTTAGTGTCCAGGTCAGAGAAATTACAGTGTTAAAAGTCCGGGTTTGACCTACAGTGACAACCAGCGTTCCAGGGGGTTGACCAGGTTTTGCCTCCAACATCAGAATTACCTGATGCAAGAACAGTCTCAAGGGCTGTTCAGCCACTCCAGAAGCATGTGTCTAGCTTAAGAGATTTATTCATTCCTGTCCTCTACGGTCATCTTCTGTTCCCGCACATAATTAACGAACAGTTCCGCAAGCAAGGGCACATGAAGAGTGTGGGTGGAATCAATTTATTGTGCTTCTCCAAAATGATGGTGAAATGACTCTTATGTCAATAATATTTATTCTACATTTCTTCAGTAGCAACACCAGCAAGAAAACAAGGTTGGTCAAGGTAGGCAGAGAACAAGTTGTACGGTTCTCAGCAAAACACAGGTAAAAATCAAAGCGAACAAGCTGAAGCAAAGTATTTCTGCCTCAGCCATATCGCTGGATGGGTTACAGGGTTGTTTAAATACTACCTGCATTGTTGTTGACAGGTTGTTTAATCTTTATTAGAGCAAAGGTGAACAGCTTTTTATAAAGGCTTGGTCAGAGAGGCCTGAAAAAGCATCGTCTTTTCTAAATATCAGCTGTGTGCTAAAGGCGGGGGGAGAAAGCTGCCTTATTACGGTCTCTCATCGGCGACTTTTTTTCCTGCCCAGCTTCTGAAATTTGAAGACTGGATCTGCTTTGATTGCTGCAGCAGCCATAGCCCCTCCAGTGAAACCAGGCTACGGGTGGTAAGCATACTGTCTTCATAAGGCTCATAATCTGAAGAACTCTGCAGGATTTGGTAAATGGAACTATTACGTTGTCCTGTCTGCTTACAGCTTGTGTTTGAGTTCCTAAGAAAGAATTTGAGTGCGAGCTGCAGACTTGTACTTACTGTCCACATCCTCCGACGCTATTTTTGAATATGGCTCCTAGAATCTGAAAGTTGTATTTATTCACTGAGTAATAATGTTAGTAGTGCCAATAGCAATAGGAAGTCCACAGTAAGAGTTCCGAAATTATATAAAAATAGTTGGGTTACAGCAATAAATAACATCATTTGTGCATTAAAAAAAACCAAAGTTCTGATTCAGTTTGTTTTGGAATGCTACATGAGGCAATGTGCTGCTTTCGGCTGCGTCTGTATATATCATTCCTTGTACTCCTGTGTACCCTGAAGAGAAAACCTGGCCTTGGCTATAGCTGAGTGAGCGACTTCAGCCCCCGTGCTCCAGAGGAGCGCAGTTATCATCAGGAGCAGTATTGTAACATACTGGAATAACCTAAGCCAGTTATGGTCCGTGGTACTCATACGCACCTAGGCTAGTGGTGGGTACACCGTTCAAAGGTTTAAATAGTCTCCTGCTTAATCGTTAGCAACAGTCAAAAAACCACATTAAGCACAGTTCAAAAGAACGAAAGGAACCAATACACGAATTAGATGCATTATCTACTGTGGCTTCCTGAGTTCAGCTAACTCAAAGGGTACACTGTCAAACTGCTTTTCAGGTGCTTGCGTGCCAGGTCCTTATATAATTGTTACAAAACTTGAATTTTCAGGAGAGTGGCTTAAATACTTAGCAGGGGTCTGCGAACTACTTCTTCACTCGCTTCCCCATCTACTTACTTACCATGGTTAGCAGCTAGATATTTGCTGCATAAAAAAGAATTTAACAGGGGAGAGAAGCAGGGAGTCTGGGTAGCAGAGTGAGTCCAGCAGGACTGACACGTTAAAGCACTGTTGAGCCAATGCACTTGTTTGTTAGAATTCTGCATTTTACTTAAAAATTACACAAAGATACAAAAGAAGTGATGCATTAAATCGGTTTCATTTGTGTAATGGACCTTGATGGATTTTGATTCCCAGTCACAGACCATACATTCATCAGATACCACGTTTTCTCCTCCCACAGTAATCCTCTGCTTTCCACTTTCCAGGACTTGAGAACTGGTTTAATTCTAACCTTCCATTTAAAAATATTCCTGTATGCCTTTATGAAAGGATACTAAAAGGTAAAAACTAAGTTGAAAGTGAAGCTATAGTGGGCTCCTTACTTTGGGTCGCAGGTTTCCAAAATAGCGCTTTAGAATGTATATAACACAACTTGCATTCACACTTGAATCCTGCACAGCAAAATGCCGTGGTGCACACAGACGTTCGGCACAGGTGCTGAACTATCTCCAGGGAGCAAACATGAAAGTGAGTTTGCCTCGTTGCTGGGAGTAAGGGTATGTTAAGTACGTACACTCATTCCTCACTCTTCAGCTTGGTTAAAGTTGATGAGACAAATACCAATGCGATGTACAACATTTGAAAAAGCACGTTATTTTTATTATTTCAAAAAGTTTTAATTTTGAAGAGGTTGTCATGAAGACAAATGATGCAGTGCTTTCTTCCCCCCTCCATCTCTAATGCTAGCAGAACTCCACACTAAGCAGCCAACTATATACACTTACTCAGTCTGAGTGAAGGGAAAACCTGAAGTTAAAGATTGCCATTTCCAAGGCTGCTCACTTGAACTACTTTAAAAAAGGAGAAGCAGGGTCCTTCAGAGGTGCAGACTTCCCTTTGCTAGACCAGAGTGCTGCATTCAGAACAGAACTGGCTTCTTGTTTTCTAATATTTTGAAAATGCAATTGAATTAGTGAGTCCTCCAGCAACACTTAACAAAACGCAACTTTTGTTTTTTAACCAAAAAAAGGATGACATTTCAGCGGAACACTAGGTATACGTGCATTTAGCTGTACTAATGATTTAAGGAAAAAACCCAACAAACCACCCCAAACAATGCACCCTAATCACAGGCTGTCTGTGCTCCAACAGCTGCAATTAACTTTTAATTTAACTGTATTTTTTTTAAACATTTATCTACGTTCCTGCACTGTGAAAATCTGCTTTCTCAAGACAAAAAGAGAGCGAGAATGGCTAGTTTTTGGGTAGTGCAGTAAGACTCGGTATAGCTCCTTTAATTTCTTTACACAGTAAACAGACTTCTATTTATACCAACACCCTGGTCTGTACTTTCTTATTTACATGAAACACTTTTACATATGTACATGTTAGCAAAATAGAGGGCTTCTCCCAGAACCAAATGCATTCCAGCTATATCTTTGTGTTACAACAACTAATGCTTTTAAGAAAAAAGGCAAGCCCACCTCACTTGTTTTCTTATGCACAATGATTCCATTTAGCTAAATACTAAAATAATTGTATTTATTTCCTTCCCATGGAGTACTTTTCTCCAGTTACAGAATCCCATCGACTCCAGACTGATACTTGCAATTTGCTCTGGCAGTAAGGAAGAGGTTTTCAAGAGTCCAGCTCTAATTGTTCTTGATTTTCACTGAGTCTTAACATAAGCTGTTGTTCGTAATAGAGGCTCTTTGCATAGTTAATTTCTTGAGACAGCTTTACCGCAAGAACTTCAGATTTCACTTTCACCTGCAAAAAGAAATGTGATTTTTCTTAATGTGGTACCGCTGTCAGTCTAAAGCAGAATATTATTTTATTACTTCACTAACTGAAGGGATTAGGTTTGAAGTCTCCTGTAAGGAACAGAAATGTTGCAGTGGAGGTTCCTTCCCAGTGCTGAGGCTGAAGTAAAGAAGAAGTGAGAGGGGGAGAGACAGGTAGACAGAGATGGGTATTTTAGGACGAAAGCAGAAACCTCTTGCAAAATTTGAAGCTACTTCTGCTGCATCCCCTCCTACCTTTTATCTGGCTTGTCTGTTTGGAATGTAAACTGACTTGGGTCAGAGGTGAGCTTGTAACCTTGCCTGTAAAAGAGCCCTGAGCAGCTACTGTAATGAAGCAAAAAAACCACCCTGTAATGGGTCTTAAGAAGTGAGAGTTCTGATTAATTTTTACATGCGTAGTATAAAGACTCCTTCCAACCTTCGATACTCTGCAGTAAAAAAATACTACGTATAGGAGAAGTGAAGACTAGGGTACATAGATGGCAAACTACTTGACTTTCACGTATGTTTTGTAAAGTTAAAAGCCTTTCACAGGTCAATACACATTTCCTACTGTAACTTTTCTGCCTGCAGGAGTATGTTAGATTTTGCCTTTGGCTCTTTTTTTTCTCAGCAGTTTAGGGAGCAAGTTCTACTGTCACCTAAACCTTTTTGGCAGCAGCTATTTTCACTGGTGACAGAACAAAGTTTTCATTGTTACACAGCACAGGAAACCAAACACTAATGACTACAAACACTTTCAGCACCAGTACACACATAAAGCGGAAAAGAACAAGAACACGAGAAAACAACCAGCCCCCCACCACACCCACCCACCCGCATGAATGAAACAATAGGCGCTAGGTCCTTAGTTACCATTGGCTTCTGTTGTGATGGGCCTGGCATTGCTACACCACTACTTGTATTAACAGCTTTCTTCGTCAACTGTATATACACGTTCCCATGGTCTTTTGAAACAAGGCAGTGGTAGAGATCATCGTACTTGACTTCTAGGAAGATGGCCTCGCGGTCTGTGTAATCGCCACTCTTCAGAAAATAAACGGCTTTAGATGAAATGAGAACACAATAGCTGTCTATGTTCTCCACTGCTATGAAGCTGCAAAGAAGAAAAAAAGAAAAGTTACTCACCTGAAGCTAAAAATCGTAAACTAACAACTGTCTTCACCTGTTATGTTTTGAGTGACCTTTAGAAGTCTTTCAGAAAAATCAACCATGTAACGTGTACAATTCATCTGTATTTAATTTAAGCGGGTCGGAAAAATCAAGCTGATGAAGTACCCTCTCACCCAGTTAAAAAAGATCATGCTGTAAATCAAAGATTAGCACTAACTGCCTGGCTTCTAGCTTTGGACCTTGAAAGGGCATATAAAAATATCCTTTAACAAGGCTTAAGAAGAGTAATTTCCTTGCACTGGAACACTGCAAATCCTAATACTGACGTTTAATTGTAACCATCTTCAGTTCCATTGCCGATACGTGAAAGGTTTGCAGACATTTATGACAAGAGCATTATCCTTCTACACACTGTAAACCTACGGTGCTTCCTTTTAACACACACCTCCCTTGCCTTTAGAAACAAAAAACAAGTTTAACCTGCTGCCTGGATCAGTAGCTAGAAGAGAGAAATTAGCTGTTTAACACGGGGGTGAAAGGTTAAGCAGCAAGCAGGTTTCCCCAGAGGGATTAGACGGGGTGATGAATAGTAGAGGTAGAAAAAGAGTATTAAGGATATTGAGAATTACAATGGCTGAAAAAGTTGATGTGTAAGAAAATAACAGTAAGGAATGCAAAAGTGAAATAGGTACTTCATACACAAACGCTTCTCCCCCACTTTGATTTACTACTGAAATGAACCTCATTAGTGGTTTTTTTTTAAAAGGCGGAAAAATTCAGAAAGTTAAAAATGAAATCATGAGTAAGAAAGAGTGCCAAATAGAGTAATAATGCTCTGTCAACAACCCACAGTGGCAGAAGCATATCTGTAAAACTAGGATTCTCATGTTGTCGGGTAGGTTCAAAATTACTATTTTCTGAATCCTTGCTTGTACTAATCTCTCTGCTGTTGTCCTAATACATTCTGCAGAATACTCCACTGTCTTTGAACCCAATGAAGACTGTCAGTACCAAGAGTTTTTAGTAGATCAGAAGAGTTTACCATCCCCAAAACTACTGCTGGCTCTACCATTTAAGTAACTGCACAAACTACTCTGAGCTGTATCCAAATAAACCCATAGCTATAAGTGGAATTTTAATAGCCAAAAATACTTCAAAGAGGTCAGATGACTGTTTCTTTTTGTGGTATAAAAGAATAATTCCAGTAATTTTCTATTCATAGTCCTCTGAAAGATGGTATTCTGCACTGAACGTGTCTTTTCCCTACCCTGTGCCTCCTAGCCACCTCAGCTGACAAATGCCCTTGCTTCCATAGACTTGAGAAAGGCATACACGCTTATTCAAGTTAACAACTTACATTTTCATTTATGTGCTGAGAAGAGCACAGCCATTCTATTAAAAAAAAAAAAAAAGCGGCCTGTAATGTACTTTGCCCAGCTCGAACCTTGGATAAAACTATGGGATAGGAAAATTGAATTGTGTTCCTTTAAGTAGAACAAAATGAACAGAAATGTGAAAATGTGTATTTCAGCTTAAAGAACACTAGGTGAAAGAGAATGTTAACACAGTTACTGAAACTAGCAATTGCCCCTCAGTTTTCCATCAAAGTTCAAACACTTTGGGGTAAGGTTTTGTCTTTGAAATAACAAGTAGGATGGAGAGTGGTATTTTTTATGAAGTGTCATAGAAAACTTAATTTTAAAATAGAGCAGCACTACAGCCTGCAGAATAATAGTCTCGGTCCTTAGGACAGGCACATAAAAGCAAGTACAGTATTTTACAAAGATCCTAGCTTTGACTCGGGTCAGACTTCCACTAGAAGCAGAACCAGAGGAAATTGGCTCGCACATCGGCTTTCTTTGCTTTTCTTTCTTTTTCAGCAGGGAAAGAAGATCAAAAGGTGATTATCAGAAACCCCTAGTACTGTAGCCATGTCCCTAGCAATTGTCACAGCAAAGTTGAGAAACTCGAGCGGGGTTCGTATACCCACAAAAGCAGAACAGCTGTTTTCCTGAGGTATGGTATTACAGCCTGCTATATGGGGGATATCCACAGAGAGAACCGAAGCACTGAAAGCCACTATAAACTTCAGTGGAAGCAACTTGGTAATCAGACTAGGGGTTTGTGTTTTCTCCGTTAGAACAAAAGATTATATATCTAATTTTCCATACAAGATTTTTACTGGTGTCCTGTATATATTTTGAGGAATGGAAACAGAGGTCAGTGATTTAATGCTGAAGCACAGAAACATTAGCTAATTTGTAGCTCAAGCTCTACATTTTGTTCTAACTTTGAGTCATGCATCATTACCCATTTTCTCTTGCCAACCGTTACTTTCTTCTCAAGAAAGTTCTCAAAACGGGTATTTAACCTTCTGAGGTACTACTTCAAGATACTATTTTTTTTTTAACCCATACTTCTACACTATTAAAAAGATCTCAAATTAATAAAATGAAAAATTAAATGAAACATGATCCAGAAGAACAAAGTAGAAGCAACCAGATCTCTGGAGAATTTGTGGGTTTTTTAACAACATCAGGAAGTAATTACACAATATTTTCCAGAAGTGAAACAGTGAGCCTAACTGGAAAAAAATGTGGAAACATTTAGTTAGAACAGTAGAGCAAGGTATTAAACCCCCTTTTATGGATTTAACTCTGAAGGAAAATATGCAAATAATCAGGTCTTTAAATGTGTTTCTGATTATGATACTAGGATAAAAGTCAGAGGCATAATTTTGTACTTATTTTCCATGACAAGAGACACTGTTTTCTTGTTGAACGATGTTTCTAATGGAACAGTGAATGAACAGTGCGACTCGATGACAAAGGCCCACTGATCTACTTATGGGGTACACTTGCAGAAAGTTGACAGTTTTTTGGGGGCCATAAATTGCTTTCTTTCCATTCCCCCTACCTAAGAGCCAGACTGTATATGCATAAAGACCCTTCAGCGAGATGAACAGGATGACGGGAGTGTAAGATCACAGGGCCACAAACAAGTGGCAGGTTACAAACTCTTCCTCACACTTCGCTGAAGGTAGACTCTAAGAGTGGCACATGGCTTTCAGAGCCTGATCATAGACACTGGTGAAATTAAGAAACCCTGCTGAATTGGTACCTCCCTCTATGAGCTTCACCATCAACAGTTTTAATGACTTTGCCTTGGCAGGTACTCGATGGCAGTATCTTACACTCTCCCCTGAAAACAGCTGTTCAGGTAACTGTGGTAGAGATCAGGTTAAGTCGTGAATTATGCCTTAAGACCAATCCAACAAACTAACATCTCCTGTACAGCTATCTTTCCACACCTTCACTCTGTACGTGGGTTTTTTTCATACTCTCAAACCTGACCACTAATAACATTTATACACTCTTTTCGCTTGCTTTCATGAATCCCATACCCAGGGCATTCAAATGTAAATGCGCCTTTAGTGTATTACCCATGCAAATTATTCCGTATTGACTTTTCTTTTGGGGGGGCAGGGGGGAATTTGCACATTATTTTGGTCATTAACTCAACAGCCATAGCTTAGGAATACAGTGTTCCACAGGCATCCAAGTTGGCTTCTCTCACATCTAAACCAGAGCCACCTTAGAGTGCACTCTGTGCAGGTCAGCAGTAGGTCACAAACTGCTGTCACGGACTCACCAGCCACTCTACTAGGCTCCGGGCTGTGAGAACTAGACAGTAAGGGACAGGTAAGGGAAGAGATCCTAGTTCTGCCGGTATGCATGTCAGAGGAAGAGGAGTACAGGGTTAAAACACGCACTTGTTTTATCAATGCACGTGGAGGGCTGGACATGTGTTACGCATGTTGAATGGACTAACAATTACTTAGAGACTTCTGAGATTCCATCTTCCGTACTGACAGAAGGGGACCAGGGATATTAGAAGTCAACAAACCAAGGCTGTGATTCTTCCACAGCCCGCATGTGACATGCGATCAATGGCAGCTAGCAACAGGCGAGTCAAGGAGCCCTGTGGCACCCGCAGTGATGTCTGTGTACAGCCCAGGGACAGGCCGCTGTGGAAGACGTCAGGTGCTCATGCTGTGCTGCTGATCGGTACCAAGAGAAAACAGATGGAACGTGTGTGGGCAGGTAAAGCGGTTTTAGTCCCTCTTCCCCAAAGACATGAAGATACAATGGCAGCAAACAGAACTACTTAACGTAACTGTGTAAGTCAGTACTTACAACTCATCTTGGATGTTGTCAGTCAGTTTGAACAGCTGTTCTTGTCCTTCTGCTTGACTTTCTAAATAGCGGGGCAAGAGC